GGCCTATAAGAAGTCAACGATTTGTCATGTTTGTAATAAACCCCTGAATGGGGATTCCGTAAAAGATCATTGTCACATCACGGGTAATTATCAGGGAGCCGCGCATAACGAGTGTAACTTGAAACTAAAAATGAATTCTCAAACAATACCCATCCCCGTTGTGTTTCACAACCTTAGAGGATATGATTCTCATCTCATTATGCAAGCTATCTCAAAGACTGATGGCGGCTTAACGTGCATTCCTAATAATATGGAAAAATATATCTCATTCTTGTTAACTAAAACTATACGTTATATGGACAAGGATGGGAAAGCAAGAACAAAACAAAGTAATGGACTTCGATTCATAGACTCCGCACAGTTTCTGTTATCTTCCCTGGACAATTTAGCTAATGCGAACAATCCCGATGACTTAGAAATAACAAATCAATATCTACTGAACAGATAACTCGTCATTTGTTGTTGAGAAAAGGTGTATATCCTTACGAATATATGGATGATTGGTCTAGATAACTTAACAGAATCTAAAATAACTGATGCCAAATTATTAACATGCTCTGATGGTGTGGGATAAGTTAGGTTGTAAGAATTTAGGTGATTATCACGATCTGTACTTAAAAACCGATGTACTGTTACTCGCCGATATATTCGAGATATTAAGAAAGACATGTTTAAAACAATGCGGCTTTGACCCGGCATGGTACTATTCCAGTCACAGACTATCGTGGGATGCATTGTTGTTATGATATGCACTTGTTTATTGAGAAAGGATTGAGAGGTGGTATATCAATGACAGCAAAAAGGTGTTCTAAGGCTAATAATAAATTAATGGAAGGTTATGATCCAAGTAAACCCGATACGCACATATTATATCTCGACGCCAACAATTTGTACGGATGGGCTATGAGTCAACCTTTACCCATGGGTGGTTTTGAGTGGGTCGATGTGAATAATATCGCAAACAATGCGGGGAGAACTCATCAATAATACAGCCAAGCTATCTGAACTCGACAAGCATATAGCTTATGAGAAAACAAAACTTGAACTGGCGGGCGATGAATTCAGTAGACGCCGAATTGCGGAAAGATTGCGTAACTTAGAAGACAAAAGATCTGCCCGCCTCGAAACGGCTTCCACTAATAGAAAGGCACTTCGTTCACAAATCAGTCGAATTCGAGAAACTATGGATCAAGTCCTCAACGATGATACCACACTGGCCGATAAAATTGAAACATTGTTCAGAGAACAGGGGATAACCTTTGCCAGTATTTTAACCGCATTGGGATTTATTATATCAACTTTGACTCTCGCGTTAACCGGTGGAGGTGGACCACCCACACCACCAAGGCCAAATGGTGTAAAAGAGTGGATAAAAAAGCATTTAAAAGCAATAGGAGAAGCACTGGGAAAGCTCGCTGGGAAAGCCGCATCTGCACTTCCCAGTATAATAGGGAGAATTGTTTCCTGGCTCTTGAATTTATTCGCTAAGACCGCCACTTGGCTTAGTCAAAACTTGTGGGCACTGATCGTAGCAATTGCCGGGCTGTTGTACTATTTATCCAAATCATGAGTAAACCAGCTGCGACTCCAACTACTATAAGCGCTGTTTTTTCATCGATATGTTGTTGATTTTTAGCTGTAATATGTGGCAGCACTTGTGGTTGTGCGTCAGTAGATGGCTGTGAAACATGTGGTTTTACTATTCCCATTTCGCCTGTGTTTGTTTGCGTTATTAATTCGGTGTTAATATCTGAATTAATACCTGGTTTTTGTTGATCGGTAGCAACCACAATTTTATTATTACAGCTGATCACTTGATCAGTTCCATATTACTCGGAGACATGTATATACCTGCCCCATAACATCTTGATAACTCTTTATAGAAGATGGTTGGTCAACTGGTGAATTAATAGCATCCTCTACGTTTGCGACAAACTGTTTTTGCGCATCGAGCGATGTCCTAGAACCAATTATTCCCGTTGTTTGCGATTGTGCACCAAGAATTGCCCATACATAAGTTCTTATTGATTCATTAACTCATCAAACTTTTGGTTTAGAAAAATTATTTTCTGTTTTATCATGAAGAAATTCATTCCAAGCGTTTGCGGTATCGTTTAGTTGCACAAATTTTGTAACAATATAAATGAAACCACTCTTAAAACTCATATTATCTCCTCTCCAATCGCTATTCGAAAGTTTTCAGCCGTGATACCAATTATGTGTTTTTAAATAAAGATCATGTATTCTTACATAAAGTTTGTTTGTCTGTAACAACCTCAATGCGAACCTATTGTACGGATTGTTTGAGGAATTCCATGCTCGATCCTGCGGTAATGGGGCACTAATTTCTTTAAGTATACATCTAATCTGATAGTACATTGGAAATGATAAAACAGACTTATTTAGTTCCAATCCTTGGGCATAAAGAGATACACCACATCCTGTTGTAGCACACCATATGGCAAATTTTAACTGGTTTTGCCAAAATTGCATTGGATTGTGGAACCAATCATGCACCATTTGATCGCTAGTTGCCCTAACCCTGTATTTTTCAAAGATATCAGGGAAATGAACAATAAACTTAGCACCAGAGGCACTTACTAAAATTGACTGATTCAAAATGTAAGTTGATTTCATATTTAAGTTATGATATAGAAAGATGTTACACTCCCAGGAATAACAAATGGCCAGTCTATTCAACTGCTTCATACTATCGATAACTCGGCTGGAAACTTGAAGTTGCTCTCTGCGATGTAACGTATTACCCGCAGTGGACCAATATAAGTGCTCTGAGAAGAAATAATGGGTTTGCACTAAGTGGAACCAATAGTGGAATCAAACCCATCATTATACCTGATGGGTATTACAGCGTATGCTCACTCAATGATGAAATTTTTAAGCCTTTGGGAGCTAGTCTCACACAAAATGAGTCAAATGGGATGCTGATTTTAAACAGTGGACAAAAGAATTTACTTCTTGAATATGGATTAGCAGCTACACTTGGATTTGTAAGAGTAGGAATAACATCATTACCATCCTACAAAACATTGCATGGAGTTAAATTGCCCGATTTAGTTCCCTATAAAGAGTTGTGCATCCATCTTGATCAGATCAGTACAACGGATAATATTCAAATTGAAAGTCCTTCATCTCTGCTAAGAGCTATTCCAGTCAAAGATGAAAAATACAATAGCGGTAAAACGGAATCTTTCTCATCATTACAATATAAAAAGTTAAAGCGGGGTATAATTTCAGACCTCAAAATTTCTGTATTAGATGTAAAACATCAACCTGTACATGAAGGATACTTGAGTGTAACACTCCATATTATAAATAATGGTTGATTCATCAGGCCCTGGAATGCAACCTTAGACAATGTAATACAATTGCACTTTCCGATCTTGGAGACACAAAAGGATTCGATAAACCCGGTACCGATGGCAAGTTATATGCTTTACACTTAAAAGATAAAGTATACAAGCGGAAAGAAGTTGTATTCAGAGGTAATCTAGGAGATTTAAGTGATGTCGACGTTAGTAAACTCAATAAAAACACTTCATACAATCTTACTGGCAACGATGATAATAAATGGACTATGGTCGAAGCAAAAATCGAGTGGCCACTGAATATCGTCATTGCTCCACCATATGTGATGACGGGTAAGGGACATCAATTAACTAAGATAATGAATAGTGGGATCGTACCCGGGGCTTATTTCCCCTCAAAATGAAAAAGTGTGTTTGTCCCTCCCCTGCCAGAAAACCCAGGTCATATGTTATTGAGTCGATCAGCATTAAAAAAGTTAGTTTAAATTTGGTTACTGAATTCAATGATATAAAACAGAACTTGAATGCTATAACTGATCTTTCTACAATTATTATTGAAGTCTTGTTTGGGGATGCACCAGAAGATGCCTTCGAAATATTACCAGGTCTATCAATTAAATGGCTCAAGAAACACGAGCGTCAACGTTGCAGTATTATTTATATGGGAGTATCACCCGTTGCAACCCTTGAGGGGGTCCAAGTTAATAAAGGTGAAAGCATTTCGCTTACTAAGATATTCATGCCACATAATATACATTTAATAAGGTTGATGTATACTCTCAAAACATTTAAGCAAGACCAATTAAAGACTATTATATGATATAATAATATACATTATGGGTTTATATGCGGTGTTCAATGAAGCATCTGAAAAGATGAATACTGTTGATGGATAGCCGGTGTTGGTTTATTATCAACTATAATCGCTGCGCCTATCGTACTTGGTATGGAAGTAGCAGCCGGAGTCTCAGGACTGGCAGGAATAGCAATAAAAATTATTTCTCGTAAGTTGCAAAAGAAAGCATTAAAACATGATAATATTTGGATACTCGCCGAAGCAAAGCATTGAGGATCATATTTCAACAGCACTGGCTGATTGTAAGATATCAGAGGATGAGTTTTGTTTAGTGTTGTCAGAACTAACCAAATACAACGCAATGAAGCAGGAGATTCGATCAAATTCTCATAAGACCAGTGGTATTAGCGAAGACGAGAAAAAAAAGTTCATAGAGCAGGGGAGACAACAAGCGCATCAATTATTCCGTGCCAAAGCCAAAGACCTGGTTGGAGATTGAAAATAGATTGTTTGATCACATTTAAACGAATGCTTACATAAGTATATAAAAAATCAAATGGCCAGAATTACCACAGGGAATTGTTTCTTTCCAATTTCGAAAAAGAGTATATAGTCTGGTCTCCTAGTAAAATGAACGAAGAACTTAGAAATTTTTTGGAATATCACTTTGTTCCAAATAATGGTATGCGTATGAGTAAAAATAATAGAGAATATTTTCATTACAATTTAGTTTAGTCTCATGACAAATTCCCTCTATAGTAGCAGTATTGGGTATAAATCTGGCTCCAGTGGAAGTGAGCCACAACCCCCATCATCTATACTACTCATGTTTTGTCATGAAACGTAATCTCATTTTTTCTTTTCATGTGTTATGACAGAATGGAAGTATATCTGTATCGAACCATTCCAATCTGGCAGAGAAGATGAACTGTGTTTAGACAGAGGCTCTGTTGTTGAAGTTGTGGAGAAAAACCTAGTAGGCTGGTGGCTTGTTAGGTAAGTGTTTCATTTGCTATACATCATGTAAACAATGTTATGATTCATTACATTCAGATACTACCATGTTGAGCTGTCATTCCAAAGCTTGATGTGTGGAGTCTTCATGATGTGGCTCTGCTCAGAAAAGGTTAAATAAATTGTCATGGTCATTTGTTCCTTTCTTAAGCTCACCTAAGTCCAGTGAGCTTTTGACATGGCCTGGTTGTCTTGTGGCTGTTGTGACATTAAATTGAAGTAACCTTTTGCCTGCTGAAAAAAATATCATCACAAGTCAATGTGAAGTACCCAGAGTGAACAATGGTCTTTACTGTTGGTTATGGGAAGAAATTACTACCATATCTGACCATAGATAAGCCAATTCTCTTTCAGATTAAATCCTCCTTGGGGCACTTATTGCATTTTCCTTGCTCAAGAAAATCTACATGACAAAGTTGTAACCATTTTCCTTAATAAAAAATGTTACCACACAAAAAACTTCGTTTTTGTATGATATACGACCACCCTTACAGGGCCTCACCCTCTACGGCGCGTCACGCCAGGGGAAGCAACGCTCACCCAAATCACTTTCCTTATGTCATACGACTGACAAGACGTTTTGATTATTCAAGAAAAGTTTCAACAACGAAATCGTTCACTGAGACACCATGACTGACCAAACTGTATGTATGGTACATTTCTTTCCTTGCAAAGGCGTAATACCTCGCATTGTAAAGTTATAGTGTTGTAATTCTGATAGAAGAAACACCACGTGTACGGTACATTTGAATTCAAATGGCCATAATGGCGTCCATTGTGTGGTTCCACTGTCTGACACAAACGGTTGGGTTGTTGTTATATCATACAGAATTGAACTACAGGTTTTCCTTTACATAAACCCAAGGTGGTGTGCTAGATTAAAACTACACTTACCTTTTTTACAGGTTTTTTCCACCTTAGCGCGTAACACGCCCACTTGGTGTTAAACAAATTATACTACGGACATTGGCTATTAGTATCGCGTTACAAATCGCATTCTACATTACGCCTTTGCTTCTGTTTTCACAATTTTGCATGTATCTTTCTGACCTTTAATATCGCACTGATATACTATTCCCACCCCACCCAACTCAGAATTTATGGTCTTTTTCACAGACCTTCAAACTTTGTCCGGGATGTGGGTCAAACATCCCACCCCAGGACCAGCATGAAAGCTGCCTGAAGTGTTTGGTTGAAAAGGTGCATGATGACTAGTCATGCCCCATCTGCCGGGCATTTACCCCCAAAACTATGAAGCGGCGGCACGCCGACCTCATCCATTATAAGAGTCTACTTGAGGCCATTCCCCCCCCCCCCTCTAAAAAGGGTAAAAGTAAGGCTAAACCTACGCCTTCTGCAACAGTGTCCTCCGCCCCCTCTCCGAGGGCCGGGGGAGAGGGCTCTAGGGTCCCCGAGGTTCCAACACCTGCACCCTCTCCTGCACCCTCTTTGGCAGACATCACTGCTTTGTTTAAGTCGATGATGGAGGAGGTCAAGTCCCAACTTCAAGAGGAGCTGCGGGCTGGGCCTTCCCCGTTGTCGGTGCCGGACGCGGCTTCGAGGTCTTGTGGAATGCCCGTCGTCGGCCGAGGCAGGCCACTAGACCTCGGGGACGATCTGAGACCGGACTGCGGCTCTGGCTCGACGTCGCTCCCCAGCGGAGGGGTGGCGGGGGCTGGCCCGTTCACTTCCTCCTCACCTTTTTTCCCTAGCGGAGTCAGACGCCTTCTCCGAGGCCAAGGCTTCCGCTAGTGGATCTGTGGCCCAGAGCCAAGTGGGTTCCCTTGAACCCCCGGCACCTCGGGACCGGGACCGGGACTCGGCTTCGGGCCGGGTGCAGCCCAGGGATGTGAAGGCCCAGGCCTTCGGGCGTCCCATTCCTACCTCGTCCGCTTACTCTCTCGAGGACGGAGGAGGGAGTGGATGACTCTGAGGCTTCGGGATGATTTTCCTTCGCATCCTTGTTGAGGCACGTACGGGACAAGATTGTCCAGGTACTGCCTCAGGTGGCTGCGCCCATGCCCGCGTCGGATCCGACTTAGTTCCGCCTCCCAGGGGACGCCTTTGCTCCTAGCAAGGCGCCCCAGGTGCGGCTCCGCATATTGTCCTCCTTGGCACACGAGGTCATCGATCCTCTGTTTTCGGGTGCCCACAGGAAGTTCGACCTGCCTGAACTCATTAAGCGGTACCTGTTGGCAGAGGACGGTGATTTCGAGGTGCCAGTGGTAGACGAGTGTGTCTGGACTTTTGTCACCCTGGAGGGGTCTTCGACCCCCACCTTGGCTAAGGCCAAGCAGGAACGGCGGTTGCCCCCCTTTCCCATGTGCGGTGCGGAGCTGAAGGCTGTATACATATGCTTCGAGGAGCAATACCGTAATGCATGCCAACAGCTTCGCATATCCGTACACTCCGCCTTTCTGTCTGCTGTACAGAGGGAGCTAGTGGGGGAGGGGCCGGCTGACTCTTCGGAGTTGGCTGCGCAACTGACAGAGGTTCATAGTCATCTCGCGAGGGATGCTTTCCGTAGCTTTGCCTTGCAGATGATGTGAGCTGTTATGGGCATGCGCAGGCTGGGGATGTCGCTATCTAAATACTCGACTTCCACACGCCAAGACCTCCGTGCTTTGCTGTATAAGATGGGTGCCACCCTCTTCCCTGGGGCTCAGCAGGTGGTCCGAGAGGCCGCTCAATGGTATGCTTCCATCAAGGACTCTAAGGCCTTGTTGGAGGTACCAAGCGTTAAACCGTGTAAGCGGACCTCTCCGCTTGACTCCTCCTACGCTGACGCGACGGGTCAGAAGTCCACACCTACTTGGAAGCAGCCACTTCCTTCAGGTAAGGGCGCCGGGAGGAGCAAGCGAGGCAGAGGCCGGGGCATGGCATTCCCATTAGCCCCCGAAGAGCCCCGGGTGGACCCACAGTCGCATGTTATCGAACTGCCGACTGGACATCAAGCTGGATGTCCACGTTGGCGGCCGACTGGCTCTATTCCTGAAGGAATGGGAGACAGTTACATCAAATCCCTGGACCCTGTCCACTCTAAGGGATGGCCATTTGCCTCGGTGGAAACATCATCTGCCCCCCTTCTCCGGGATAAAGCACACTCTGGTGCCTGCTACCCGAGAGAAGGCGGAATTCCTCCGTGCCGAGGTCGACGCACTTCTTATGAAAGCTGCGATCGAACCGGTTCCAGTGGGACAGGAAAGCGAGGGGTTCTACTCGACATATTTCCTAGTCACCAAAAAAGACGGAGGGTTCATGCCTATTCTCAATCTGAGAAGGCTGTACAAGCTTATAGAGGTACCGTCCTTCAGGATGGAGACACTGCGCTCAGTGATCTCAGCTGTCGAGACAGGCATCTTTTAGGTCTATGTCAATAGACCTAAAAGATGCCTATCTCCACTTACCCATACACCCCGAGTTCAAGAAATACCTGAGGTTTTCTTTCGACGGGAGGTGTTATCAGTTCAGTGTTCTACCATTCGGGATCTTCACGGACCCGAGGGTGTTCACCAAGCTGATGTTGATTCCTGCCCAAGTGGCCAGGTCGAAAGGTCGGTTCTGCCATCCGTACCTCGATGACTGGTTACTTAGAGCTCTATCGCAATCCCTGAGTCAGATAGCTACACAGGAAGTGATAGACATTCTGATCACTCTAGGGTGGATAGTCAATCTCAAGAAGTCAGATCTGAGCCCTACTCAGAATCTTGTCTTCTTAGGGGCGAACTTCAACACAGTGAGCGGACTTGTATCTCTCTCACAAGATCGCATAGTCAAGGTCAGAAGTGTTACTTCTCAGTTCCTTCTGTCCACAAGACACACTGCTCGTACATGGCTCCAGTTACTGGGCAACATGGCGGCGACAGTGGATGTGTTTTGGCAGGCGCGTTTGAGAATGAGACCCATTCAACAAGCGCTCCGTCGACTTTGGGTGAACTCGGAAGATCTCGAGGCTCCGCAGTGGCTCATTACACACCTCCAGTGGTGGACCGAGGTCAGGAATCTGTCCCGGGGGCTCCCCCTCGACACTCCCGTTCCGTCTCTCACAGTTCAAACAGACGCGTCACTCTCCGGCTGGGGAGGCGTTCTGAACGATCACACTGGCTCGGGGCTTTGGTCCCAGCAGGAGATCCAACTGCATATCAATGTGCTAGAACTGAGAGCGGTCAGGTTGGTGTTCCAACTCTCCTTGGACCTGCTTCGTGGCCAACAGGTTTGTCTAGAGATGGACAACCAAACGGCGATGACTTACATCCGGAAGCAGGGAGGAACGGTGTCTCCATCGCTTCTCCAAGAGACGTAGCAGTTCCTACTATGGTGCGACTCTCATGATATCAGGGTGCTACCTGTTTATCTCCCGGGGGTGGACAACGTCCGTGCGCACGCTCTGTCTCACCGGATCCTCACTCCTCATGAGTGGAGGCTCGACCCGGGGATATTCGGGATTATCTCCCTGTTATACGGGTCGTTCCAGGTGGATCTGTTTGTGTCTGGGGTGAATCACAAGACACCAACGTTCTGCTCCCGAGTCCCTGACCCGAGGTCGGTGGCACAGGACGCCTTCCAGCTAGATTGGACGGACAGAGTTCTGTTGGCATTCAACCCGGACGCCTTCCAGCTAGATTGGACGGACAGAGTTCTGTTGGCATTCCCCCGGACTCAGGTCTCAGGTTTCTGGCTCAGCCTCCTGTTCTATCTGTCGTCTCTCTCTCTTCAGCTGTGGCGGTAACGTCCGGCAGACGGGTAAGCGACATTCATGCGATGTCAGCCGATCCCGAACTAACTGTCTTCCACCGGGACAGGGTCAGTATTCGCCTGCCGGACTCTTACCGTCCTAAGGTCGCACACGCATTCCTAGATTATCTTTAGGAGTCTATCTTGATGCCACAAGTGCCCCAAGGAGGATTTAATCTGAAAGAGAATTTTACAAACCTGTAGAGGTTAAGAATTCTCTGATGAAATCCTCCTTGGGGCACGGCCAC